ATCGTGACTGCAGATATTCTTTTTTAATTCGATATTTCTCGGTCCGGAACACTGTGCAGTACGCCGTAAATGATCTTATCAACGCGACCCTTTGCGCCCTTTTAAGAGTATTCCTATTCTTTTTCTTTTCCACCGTATTTGCTCATACAAGTGCCGCTTAGGGCACCGCCGACTCCCAAACTCCATGATAGAGCTTCCTGGTAAGCCGTTCACATTGGGCAGCAGCGATCTCGATGCTTCCATGAGAGTATCGCCCTTACCGCACACTTTCTCCAAATGAGTCTCGAACCTTCTGCAGTTATCTAGCTGCACCCCAAGGTATCTAATCTCCTGCGTCGTAGTCAGAATGTGCCCCTCCACGTTCATCTCAATTACCTTGAGGATCCGCTTGCCCGTCAGCAGTATCACCTCGGTCATCTCCTGTGCGATTTTCAATCCTTTATCGGCACACCACCGCACGATCACACCCAACGCCGTTCTTAATTTATTATCCGCTTCTTCCTGCTCGGACGTTGACGAAATCGACGACATTCATTTTCATTCAATTCATTCAATTCCTTTAGTAGACCCATCGTATACCAGATTCCAAAGCAGTGGTCCAAGTATTGATCCTTGAGGGACACCCGCGTACACATTCCTCCTTAACGCTCCTCTTGTCCTTACTATAATCTTCCCGTGCTCAAGACAATTCTTGAGAAGCGTTACCAATTTCCTGGGCATTCCTTTAGATTCTGCTTCTTCCAAGATCTTATTCCAGCTGAGAGTGTTGAACACGTTCTTCACGTTCACCGCTACCAACACAGAAATCCTATTTCTTCTCTTGGACCAGTCAGCAAGATCCATTACTCGGCGCAGGACGTCCACTGTTTTCACTCTCCTCCTGAACCCATACTGGTCATCGTGAAATGGGTCCAGTCCCAAGCTTTCCTCGATCAGGTTCTTAAACGTGTACTCGCAGATTTTACTAAGTGCTGGAAGCACGCTGATCGGTCAGAAACGATGTTAACGTGGGATCTCTTCCCGGTTTAAAGTTTAGATTTTGCCTGGACGACCGTAAGCCCGGGCGCGGCCGCTCTTTTATCGAGGCTGGTCTGCCAACTATCGAACATGTTCGGTCGCGCCTGGACCTTGACGTCGGCACCTGCAGGCCAATCCCACCCAACAGACCCCGGGTGCGGAAGTATATCTCACGACGCCTGTAGTTCGGACGGAGGAAACCCCGCGACCACCCCCGCTGCCGTCGTCGAGATGGTGCGGA